ATGGGATTAACCAATTTTAACAGATCACATTGTTTTCTGCATTTTCAGATTTCTCATGATGTACAATTTAATTTCCATCAAAAATAAGAATGCAATATTAAACCTCCAGTTTTAGCAGCTTAAGAACACTCATCCCAAAACTTTGCAACAGTGATCCTGGCATTGTACCAAACCTGTCAGGAACCACCATCATTGATCATGATGGTCTGTCCCGAATCAGATAGCAGGTGCCCTAGTGGTGGGCTGTCCTGGGGTCCTACATTAATTCTATACCAAGTCACACTGAGGGCTAGGACAGAGGAACTTCTGCACTAAGCTTGTTCACATCACCCTGGTCCTTCTTGTGGGCTGGTCTCCATGTTTAGGATGAATAGAGACCCCAACCCCAGGAGGCCACCATACAGTGACCAGAATCCAGTACATCTGGGTCCCTGCCAAATTTCAGCATACACCTCTCAAAGTTATGGCAGGATGGCCACAAATCTTCTGAAGCAATTGTGTTAGAAGAACAAATTAGAGAAAAATACCTTTTTTCAAAAACTCCAATACTAAACACTGAATTCATTTTTTAAAAAACTCGGTTTCTGCTATCCTACTTGTTTAGCTGATAGCCTTTTGTTGCTGACTTCACTCCAACTGCAGCAAACTCCTGTCTGCATAACAGTATAATATGAAAATCAGAATTCAAAATTTGGGCCATTGTCAAGATTTTTGTGACTGAAGGAATTTCTGTGGGAGTGTTGGCAGGCAGGATTCCAGGATGGGGGAGTTCTTCAGTACTAGTTCCAGTTAAATTGTAAATGCATTCTTTACAAAACGTTTAGAATTTTACCACACTACGTGCACAGAAGCATTGCCTTGCCCGAAGTTTTTAGCTGTAGGCTGTTTGCATGTCCAAATAACCAGTATCAGGAATGTAGCGGCATTCCCCCATATCAGCTGATGAATGCCGGGGACGTGCATCAACGGTACTGATTTTCTTGACTGCTCAAGGAAGTTGTATTAAACATGAAGTGGCACAAACCTCAGGACTTTGCCTTTAACTACCAACCACAATTTGCACAAGAATTGAAGCCTCCAGCTTTGGTATTTCAATCACAAGTCTCTACTGACTTTACAAACGAATCTTGTAAAAACAAGATGGCACAGTTTGCATTGTTATTGCTGTGTCTGTCTATCAACGATCATGTCAGTTGAATATATAAAAAAACTGATTATAGTTTACAGACTAAATTGGTTTGAAATGGAAATCTAATCATTTCACAAATGCTGGATGTTGAAATTGGCATAAACCAGCAGGACAAAATAAGTTTGTAGTGAATCCACAACTGATCTTTCACTATGCTAATTTTTTTTTCCGTGGAATTGGCAAAAACATTGCCGAGATGTCTAACTGCAACCAAAGTAAAAGAGATTAGAAAACAGGCCCAAAAGAGAATTTGAAATATTATTCTAAGGGGAAAGACGATTAGGTGCAGTGAAAAACTGGCAGTCACTTTGCTACAAGTCAGTTGCTAGCATTAACAATTTCAACCCCCTGGAAATGTTAGTCAAGAAATCTGCTCATAGCTTCAAAATGACATTTTTCAATATTATATATTGAGCCACATGGTCCATTCTGTGACTAAGAGAGTAAAATCCTGGTGAAAGATGAGAAAGCTGTGGAAAAATTTTACCCCAACTGTGGCACCCATTGAGATAGTGAGGAGTGCAACATGAGACTTACTCTTTGCCCTGGATTTCTTCTCCATTCAGTCAGGTGAGTAAAATCAGTCAGGTCAAAAACTGCACACCATAAGTTTCCAATCAGGTGACTGAAATTAAAATTATTTCTGCTCATCTCTGTTTCTCACTCCACAGATGCTGCCAGGCTGATAAACGTTTCCAGTGTTTTGTGTTTTAATTTGTTGTAAAATAATTTTCGCCAGAGTACTAAATCAAATATTCAAAAGTTAATCTCATTCAGGACGGGACACCCAGTAAGGACTGGAATGTGTGGCAGAAGGCCTTGTCCTCATCATCACCTGATCTAGAAAATAAATCCGCAACTTTTATCACCCTTTCAGAAGTACCCCAATATTCTACTATAATGACAAACTGCAATAGATAACAAAGATAAATTTGTGAACAAATTCAATCAACATTTCTTAATTTTCTTTTTTGGGGGTGGAACATTTGTGCTGTTTTTAACCAACAGGTGGATCTGTAAACTCTGCTGAGCTCTGTCTGAACCTGCAGTGGTCCTTTGCAATATTTCCCTTGCATTCACACCCACTTTTCACTCTAATTATGGCTGATAGGAATTTTGGCCCCATACAATGCTTCTACTTCCTGAAAAACAGAGATTCCTATTAGTGAACAAAACTTTTGACTAGTTAAGTCACTGACAATATTGGAGAAGCTTTGTTTATGTGTTGTGGATAACAATGATGAACCAGTATCTACTGCTATAAAGGTTTATGTTTGGGAATTTTACAATTTTCACCTGTGACAATGAAAGAATAGCAATCTTTGTACACTAACTATGGCTCAAGAATCGATATTCATCGTAGAATCCCTACAGTGTGGAAACAGGCCCTTCAGCCCAACAAGTCCACACCGACCCTCAGAGCATCCCACCCAGACTCATCCCCATATAACCCACCTAAGATACACATCCCTGAACACTATGGGCAATTTAGCATGGCCAATCCACCTAGCCTGCACAACTTTGGACAGTGGGAGGAAACTGGAGCACCCAGAGGAAACCCACGTAGACACGGGGAAAATGTGTAATCTCCACACAGACAGTCGCCCGAGGGTGGAATTGAACCCGGCGCTGTGAAGCAGCAGTGCTAACCACTGAGCCACCGTGCTGCCCTAGCTACATGAAGCAGAACGTTATCGTCAATGGGATATTTGGGTGGAATAAATCTGCTATTGCTTCTCCTTAGTATTTCCAGCATCATCTGTTCTTTTTCTTCACTTCAGATTAGATTTTACGATTTTTGCAAGAGCACGCCGAAATACGTGAGCTGTCACATTGTGTTAGAGTAAAACTAATTACCTACTGTTGAATAAGATGAATTGCTAAAATATAGCCTTGATCTCAATACTACTTCAAGATAAGTTCAATAGTCATCATTTTTAATTAAACTGTTTTATCTCAGGACATAGTCACAAGAAAGAAGAGCCTTCATGTTGCTGGGCCCAGGGTCTGAATCAAGGTTAACAAACGCTTGCAATTTTAGGTGAATTAATGTGGAATGGGCTGGCGTTTCACGTGTTGCTGATGAACAATGAGGGAAAGTGTAAGCTTTGGTCGAAAAATACACAGGGTGCAGAAAGAGTGTCTCATTGTGATCTATTGAAATTAATGAATGTGAAATGAAATCAAACAGCACTCAAACCACACGATTACAAACATTTAAAGTGGTCAGCAGTGTTTAGGTGAAATTATTGGAAATCAACTGACAAGGAATAAAATTGAAACCAAAGCATGGACAAGTGGCTGTAAGAAACTCCCTCATCCTAGAAGGGATTAAGGAATAAATGTTTCAAAACTAGAGATTAGAATGTCTGAGGGATGTTTCAAATTCCCAGCTGTAATGACATGAAGTGTGTGATTGTTTAGCATAGACAAATGACCATAGTGATCATTATAGTGTTATTTGTTATCATAGTTATCATATTAGTTATCATAAACACTATAATTAGTGACATTATACAGTACTATTAGAATATTATCTATTATTATCGTCCTCCCCCTTCCTCCAATCCCAACAGCTTCCCTATCCCATTTACAATCCCTTCTGACCTTCCTGTCATCTCAACCTGTTAGGTTCACTCCCTCCCGTCCCTCTGGCCTCTTCCTCACCCCTGCTCTCACATGCAACCCTCACCCCCGACACCCCCATCACTCAGATTAAACAAGGCGGAATTGAAGGATACGCTGTGGGCTCACTCCACTCTGATCCAACATGGAACTTCTGGCTTTGGTGTGTCATCAGGTAAATGATTTCGAGGAGTATGCGGGGTGGAGAGTGGGGGCATGGTGAATGATTGGAGGCGGGAGGACTGAGAGTTGTTGGTGGAGGAAGGCGGATGGTTAAAGGGTGACCCACTTGCAGTGTGGCCAGGTCCTGAGCCTCTGGAAGGAGACATGGCATTGGGGACTCCAGTGTTCCATGCCTCGTCTGTCATCAGGATTTGTTCAAATTACAACATTTGATTTCAAATGACGCACTGATCATTTCAGAGCACCAGCGAGAACAGAATTAACGTCAAAGTTTTCGGGTATGGTGGCTCCTGCATTTATTTATCAACCTACTGACAGTCACTTTTTCCAGTCTTGCAATTTCCCAGGGATTCTTCATAACCACTGTCCATGACCTTCTCCTAAAATCGTGGCATTTTAAAATTTCATTTCCTATTCCTGTTGACAGATTTCCAGCTCTGAAAGCATACAGTATGCAAATTCACCGAGTGCATGCACTATCCACTGACAAAATAGCATGTGTTCAGCTGCAAGAGGGTCTTGCCTATAATATTACCCTTCAGGAAATAAATAGGTACTTTTAGCCAACTTGTGATTGTTTTCCCATTGGTTTTCCTTCCATTATTACCCATAATTCTTTGAATTTAAAAAATTGGCAACCTAAAAGCCTCAAAAATGTCACTAACAAACTGGAATTATGACATGCAGTGTAGCACGTTTATATTGTGTTTGGCCAGAGCTTCTCCTTTATTTTGAAAGCTTGAAATTATTGGTAATGAGGCCACTCAACTCTCCTTCAAAAATCACAGCAAACGTTAAACAAAAATGCAGAAGAGAAACAAGCATAATACCTCGGAGTACAAATAAACAACCAATATAAAAGTACACGTCTGCTACAGTATCTTATAATCCTGTGAGATAATAGCTCAAATAACCACACTTTAATCACCTCAAGTAGGGTACTGCTACAAGTACGCTAAATTGACATGATGCCTGATATTAATTTTGGAAATGGCCTACTTACCAGAGGCCTGTTTTCTTCTTCATCCTTATAGTAATGGAGCTGGTCTCCCTTCAGCACAAACCACCGTGTGTGCCAAGTCTTGACAAAACCACCTTGCTTTCTCAGCCATCCACACTTAATGACGTTTTGTCTGGCTCGGCCAGCCTGGGTACTATTCAAGGAGCTACTGTGGTCATCCATTATAAGGCTAATAGATTTCCCTGGTAAAGAGAAACAGCAACCAATTAGAAGAAAATAAGTAAACATCTAGCATCTCAGAGTATATACCAGATTTTATATTTTAGCGCCTTATCCATTCATCTTGCTGCAGACTAGACTCCCTCCTCACAAACTGCCTAGATCAGAACTAACCCACGCTTGAAAGCTTACACAGACAGCTCCTGCCAAGGAAAACAAATGATAAAAAGATTTGCAGAAGAAGAATCCATTTCATGCTACAGAATAGATGTCAATAGCACAAAATCAATGCAGAGATATTTTCCCCTCCTTTGTACCCATGTAATTCATTATCCCAAATGTAAACAAATCAACGGTTTTTCCATAAATGTTCCTGTCACATACTTCAAATGATTCGACTGCACCTTCATATCTATGAACATTAAAGTATGTGACATCCACTTACAGATTTGAGAAATCTGAACACATTCTGTAGCCACAAAACATCCCACCAGGGGCTAATACTGTTTGCACTGCAGCTGAGGATTGCATGGTAAAAAATGTGTGCATACCCATTGCAAGCTTATACATTGTTCATCACACTTACTTTTTCTGTTCCTGATTATGTTATGAGCAACTTGATTCGTAACAGAAGTAAATGTGGAACCGTTCAGAGTGATTTTTCTACGCTTCCCTAATTTAAGTGCAAAGTACTTATTAAAAAAAAAAATTTGAGGGATGTAGGTACCACTGGGAATTTTGCAAGCTCTAATCGCCCTTTAGAAGGTGATAGTGAGCTGCTGTCTTGAACTGCTGTAGTCTGTATGATGTAAGGATATCCCCAGTGCTGTTAGGAAGTGAGTTCCAGGATTTTGAACCAGCATCAGTGAAGGAACAGCAATACAGTTTCAAGTCAGGATGGAGTAGGACTTGCAGAGGAACTTGCAAGTGATGGTGCTCCCATCATCTTGCTGACCTCATCCTTCCAGTTGGTAAAGGTCACAGCTTTGCAAGGTGCTTTTGAGGTAGTCTTGATGACTTGCTGTAGCGCATCTTCTACAAAATACACACTACTATCTCCAGACAGTCACTTTTTCAGTCTCACTATTTCCCAGGGGTTCTTTCCTTATCCATAAGCTTCTCCTTAAATAATATCATTTTAATATTTTGTTTTGTATTCTGTTGATAGATTTCCAGCTCTGAAAGCACAGAGCATGCAAAATTCACTGAATGCATGCGCCATCCACTGACAAAATGGCATGTGTTCAGCTGCAGGAGGGTCTCACGAATAATGCTACCCTGGAGAGGGTAAATGTTTATGATGAAGGCAATTGGGGTGCTGACCAAATGGGCTGCTTGTTGGAGCTAGACCCATCCAAGCATGTGGGAAATATTCTATCACACTCCTCATTTGCAAATTGCAGATGATGGACAGGCTTTGTAGAATCAGGATGTGGGTGACTCACAGCAAAATTCCCAGTCTCTGGTGACATTATTTATTTGACTGCTCCAGTTCATTTCATGATCAATGGTAATCCCTGAATGTTGCAAGTGGTGATTCAGCAATGGCAAAGCCATTAAATATCAGAGAGAAATGGTTAGATCCTACCTTGTTGGAGATTGGCATTGTCTGGCACTTCTGAGGCACTAATGTTAATTGCCAGTTATCAGCCAAAGCCTGGATGTTATCCAGGTCTTGGTCCATATGGATATGGGTTGCTTTTGTATCTGAGAACTGGTGAATGGCACTGAACAATGTGCAACCATCAATGAACATTCCCAGTTTTGGAAGTGAATTTTACAGACAGTCCCTCTGCCAGCATTTTGAAGACAGGGGTCTTATAAAATGCAGTGCATGGCTTTTCACCTCCATCCTATCTCCCATTTTACAGTAGGTAGGAAGGCATCAGGCAGCATTCTGCCCTAGATTCTATTAAGACCCTTAAATGATCAATGAGTGAGCACTAGAGCACATTATCCTGCCTCTGCATTTTGCTGACAGCAAAGAAAGGCCTAGAACATAGAACATAGAACAGTACACCACAGTACAGGCCCTTCGGCCCACGATGTTGGCAGACACCAGGTGAGTAGCCCTAAACATTTCCTGCCTGGGTATGGGACAAGAGGAAGGGAGACCTCCTCTAGGAAGCCCCTATGCCCCTAGGGGACAACCATTCCTCACACCAAGGTAATTCCTTATCATTAACTCTCCGAAAAATGGATTTCCCACTTCTCCCTTAGCCCCCTCCCCCATCACTGGAGTCAGCCAATAGCTCCAGCCAATAGCCTAGTTTTATTTTGAAGTCTAGCTCTATGATTTTTGTATTCAGGCAGTGCCTGGAGTCCTAGCAAAGGCCATCACTCAAACCTTACACTGCTATGATTACAGAGACACTGAAAAATCAGATTGGTGGGGAACTCTCTAAGGCAGGCTATGTTCCCCAGACGAGATTGAAAAATCATGACTTTAGGCAATTAAAGTTGCTTCAAGTGAACAATGGCGACAGAACATTTATGTTTGGAAAGGTCGGGGGGGTGGATTGCAGGGGATACAGTGCTATAAAATACAGCTCCTACTCTCATGATGGAGGCAAGCATTGATGTAGCATTTAAAGGTAGATGGGACCAGGACACCATCCTGAGAAACCTGTGCAGCAAAGTTCCGGGGCTGAGATAACTGACCTCAAATAACCACAATCATCTTTCTTTGTGCTGCATTTGCCTTTTACCAGTGAGGGTCTTTCCCCTGACTTTCTTTGAATTCAATTTTACTGGGGCTCCTTGATGCTATGATCAGTCAAATACTGTTTTGATATCAATAGCAGTCACTCTCACCTCACCTTAAAATCAACTCTTTTGACTTGGCTTGGACTGGAGCCAAGGTCTGAAGCAGAGAGATTGGGGTTGAACCTAAATTGTGCATCGAATGGGCTTCTTGTTGGAGCTAGACCCATCCAAGCATGTGGGAAATATTCTATCACACTCCTCATTTGCAAATTGCAGATGATGGACAGGCTTTGTAGAATCAGGATGTGGGTGACTCACAGCAAAATTCCCAGTCTCTGGTGACATTATTTATTTGACTGCTCCAGTTCATTTCATGATCAATGGTAATCCCTGAATGTTGCAAGTGGTGATTCAGCAATGGCAAAGCCATTAAATATCAGACGGAAATGGTTAGATCCTACCTTGTTGGAGGTGGCAATGTCTGGCACTTGTCTGGCTGGGTAATGACATGAAACTTTCAACAACACCATCCACTTGTGCTTTTGTTTGACAGTAATTTGATGGAATGGTAACAGCCAAATTGGATTTGACCTGCTTTTCGTGGCTGGTACTAACGTACTCCTATGCTAAAACTTCACCAGGTGGGCATCTTATTTATATGTATGCCCAGTACCGCTGCTATCATGCTTTCACACACACACTTCATTGAACCACAACGGTTATACTGGCTTGATGGTAATGGTAGAATGAGGTATATGTCAGGCCATGTGTTTGCAGATTATGGTTCAATATAATTTCACAGTTGCTGATCCCATAGCACCTCGTGGAATCTGATAGAAACAATTTAAAAGAATATTCATTTGAACAATAAAAAATAAAAATTGAAGGACATTAGTGAAGCAGATGAATTTTTACAACAATCTGTTGGTTTTATGATCATTATTACTGAGACCAGCATTTTTGACTTTGAAGCAAAGTGGATGACAAAGTATAACCACTGATCAGCCACAGATTGTCAATGTGATTTTTTTTCCCCTTTTTTAAAAGCAGCTTTTCCCTTAGCCTTTTGTCTTCCCTTTCCTACCTCTTTAACTTGCAATGACTTCACCCTCATCTCTTATAGTCTCTCTCTTTCTCATCCTCCTCACTTCAAAGAACCACCTACATTTTTTAGATTTATTAACTGGAGTTTCGTCAAGGCTCTGGATTACTATTCCAGTAACACTACCATTAAGCTGCTACTCTCTTAACTCAAAGCTGTCAATGTCAGAGATTCATGCCACATGTAATGTTAATCACTTTACAATGCAGGATATTAAAAGTATGGTTATCATAGTTTACTGTTCAAATGAGAAATCTTTGACATCTTTCACATCAGTTCCCATTAATTAATGTTCTAAAAGTCAAAACATGTATCTATAACAGCCTAAACAAAATCAGAAATTGCTGAAAACACTTTAGCAGATCAGGCAGCATCTGTGGAAGAAAGCAGAGTTAATGTTTCATGTCCAGTGACCCTTCTTCAGAACTCAAAACATTAACTCTACTTTCTCTCCATAGATGCTGCCTGACCTGCTGAGTTTTTTCAGCACTTTCTGATTTTGTTTCAAGCATCCGCAGTTCTTCGGGGTTTTTTAAAAATCTACAAAAGCCTTGCAGGTTTCTCTAAAAATGTTTCTGCCCACCTTCCCTCCCCTCATCCATTTCAGCACATCAATTTGTGTAACTTCAACTGAAAAGTTGGGGCAGTCAATCTGGATCTTCCTTTCTGATCATTGGTCAAAAGGAATGTACTTTCTCTGGGTTGAAATTTAGGCTCCAAAGACGTAATATGACACTGTTCTTGTGTGCTTCTCCTCAGACAGATAAATAATCAAAATCCAGCAGCTGAAAGTTGACATTAGAGATTCCACTCTTGAGGTTGCACTCGAGTTCCCAGACATCAGTCGCGCACTTGAACACTTCTGTACTGTTCCTATCCTTCTCTATTTCTGTTTTACAAATGTATAAACAATGTTTCAAATAATTCAAATCTTGAAAAACATCTATCTTTATTCCAATGCGTTAAACAGAATAAAATACAACCTGTTGTTTTTGCTCTGATTTTCTTGAAATTCACCAGTCATGTTACTTTATACTACGGCTAATGTCACCACTAAATTTAGCTCACTCAAAAACTTTATTTTCCTCTCCCTCAACTACCACAACATTTTAGAGATGGACAATACATTAATATTGAAAACTTTCTTGTGGTGCTCGTTCAAGGCAGCCAAAGTTTCCCAAATAAATGAAGACTGACATTGTTAAAGGCCAAAGT